GGCAAGGCATTTTGTTCAGTTGGTTGTGATACATACATGGATTAGCAAACGAAATGTCACCCAGTCCGGTATTAGAACTGCTACAAGACTGTATGCTCCATTAGGCCAAGCATTTTAATGGCTTCATGTACTCTGTAAAACACTCTTTCCACTGTATAAATGCATGAAATGAATTGATTTAGCTAATGATAGCCTAATACTAATACTATGGTTTAATATTTTCCTAGTGAAAACATTTATCTTTACACTGATAATGAAAGACAATAGGCTCAAGTCGCAAAGTTAATACAAAAGAGGGGAGAGAAAAAACTAAAGTTGGGCTTTAAGCTGACTAATGTGAATTGCATTTGCTATATATTTTATAACCTGTAGATTAATCAGTCATATATTATAAATAAAAACATATTCAAACACTACATTGTAAGTACTTTTCCTAAAGAAAACCTGTCATAACAGAAATGTGCGGTCTGCCAATGCCGACCTTTCCTTCTAAAGATATTTTGCTGTCAGGTGGTCATGTTGTAGACCTGGAACCAGCATGTGCATTTGAAATGATTGTTTCACTCAGTCTTCACTTGTTGAATGCTTGTTCTGAGCTAATGGCTTATTCTGGGTCTTGATGCCAGAGGACACCGTGCAGCTATCATTTTCAGATGATTTCAGTAATGACAGCCCAGGTATTTCTTCATAACAGGTACTAACTAATACACGGATCTCTGAATCATTGCATCGCCTTAAAACTGGCTGCTTGCCAAATAATTCCCCATATAAATAATTAAAAAAAATAAAAATAATTTATATAAAATACAGACCATTTCAGAAGGATTCAAGGTTTTATCCAGACTAGACTGATGCTGGTGGTTAATCAGCCTATTTGTGTTGTATGATCAAATATTTATGTCAAATATTTTTCCAGTGACAGGATCTCCACATTATGTCTGCCAGTTCTAATCCCAAAGGTGTACAGCCTACACCATCTAGTGTTCACTTACAAATCCACAGCAGAACGGGAATGATTTCAGTTACTTTGCTATGTTTTTTTACTCAGTCCAACAAAAAGGCTACGTACTGTAGATAGTGTTCGTACTGACAGGTTTATATGTAGTAAATATATCATTACCTCTAGTTTTAAATAAAAAAATGAAAATTGGTTCATACTATAAATCGCATATGAATCGTATAGGAATTGCACCATATTCTTGTGCAATTCACATGCAATTCAGTGTGGTGTGATTTGAGTTCATTAATTTTGAATAGGCTCAAATCACATCCCATCGCACCAAAGTTGTTCATGCACTACTTTTGGAATGCACTGCAAACAAATCGCATGGTCATTTTGTACTTTGTGCAGTCAAAAGCATTGCATTTGTAACCTGCATTTGGGGTGTCATTAAGATTGCACTGACACCGACTACAGATCACAAGGGCAGTGCAATTTGAATGTGGTGTGGAAAATGTTCACGGATTGTGGGTTTCCTGTGCTGCATTCAAGAGTGAACCTAGCCTAAGATCATTGGTTACACCTTACACGTATTATAACATCAGCATTGTGATAACACAAAAATAGTTATACCCAATGTAATCTTACTTGAAAAATCTCCTTTCATGCTGTGAGTTCTGCCTGTCTGCTGGCAATCTCTTTCCACTTCATTGTCTTCCTGTATGCTTTGCAGCTTCTCCTTTGCTGTTTACTGTTCAATTTCTAAGCACTGCATATCTCATGCTACCTTGCTGCCTGGAAGCAGTGATTCCTTTACTGACTCGGCCTCCAGAAAATCTTCCTTTAAAGTGTTACTAAACCCACAACAGTAAAATCAATCTGTATATGTAGTAAAGCATGCTTGTTATACTCACTGTGGAACCTAAGGGGTTAATCCTCCGCATTGTGTAAAAAGGCTGTTTGATTCTGTCTTCTCTAATCCTCCCCTTCTTCTATTGTCCCCAGTCCATCTGCTGATAGAACAGAGCTTTGGGGGCAAGCTGCACATGCTCAGTTTGGTGTGTATTGCTAATGAGTTTTTTTTTTCTTAGGAGAGTGCTCCAGCATAGGGCCAATCAGCACTGTCCAGACAGAAGATCAGGGGTTATACAGCCTCATAGGACAATCAGGGAAGAATGAAAACTCCAAGCTTTAATCCTTACTCTTCTGGACACTGATAAAAATCACAAGACTACTCTAACTGCTAATGAGAAAAGATATTTAGCAGTTTATATTTACTAAAATTATTGTATATCCGTGAACTGTGGGAGACAAGATATAGTGAATGTAGGGTCCTGGGTTTAGTAACACTTTAAGCACCTCTGTAGTTCAGAAGGCAGGTTCTGTGAAATGACATAGCAGTGCCTATAATTCAATGAAGTCACTGTGTGGGATCTTCACAAAGTAAGTTTACAAACTTCAAGATCACTCAGATTAAAAGTAGTCTACAAATAATTGAAATTGAAGTATATGATTTTACATTTTGACCATAGATATGCTTTACATGCATAATTCATATATTATACCAGACAGGTTTTACAATACAATAGGTTTATAGAATCAGCAGAATTTGGAGGAGGTCATTTTTGGTTGTAATCTGCGTAATGTACATATGAGCCTTGCACTCCTGAACCCTGCACCCTGTGGATAATGTTCTCCTAAACCCTAAATCCTGTGTGTAATACAATGCAACCCTGCAAACTGAGCACTCCTGAACCCTGCCATCCTGTGTGTTATGCACGCCTGGACCCTTCACCCTGTGCGTACTACTTTCTTGCACCCTGTGCCTATACACTCCTGAATTCTGCACCGTGTGTAATGCACTTCTGAACCCTACACCCTGTGCGTAGCACACTCCTAGAAGGGCTAACCACCCCCATGGGTCTAGCTCAGGAAGAGGTGGTCACCTTGAAATGTGCCCTGATTTGCTGCTTCGGTGGTGATGTCATTCTGGGGACTGGTTGAGTCGGAGTACAGGATCCTGAGGTACTTTCCCCATTCTGCCTAGCTGGGTTCCTGACAGCGGTCCGGACGCTCTGCATCGTTCCCTCCACATTTACTGTTTGGCTGTTTGGAGTCTGAACCTACATCTTTCCACTCTTCTATCATGCTTCCCCATGTGTTGGTTGGCCTGTGAGTAGAACCATTTGTTTTAACCACTTCAAGTCCGGACATTTTTCACCCCCTTCCGGCCCAGGCCAATTTTCAGCTTTCAGTGCTAGCACACTTTGAATGACAATTGCGCGATCATGCAACACTGTACCCATATGAATTTTTTAGCATTTTCTGGAGACAGATAAAACTTTATTTTGGTGGTATTTATTCATCACTAGAATTTTTATTTTTTTTGCTATATAAATGAAAAAGTCCAAAAATTGTGAAAAAAGTGTTTATCTTATATAATTTTGCAAATAAATAATCTGTCTTGATAAATCTTGGCCAAAATGTATTCATATATCTTTTTAGTAAAAAAAATAAAAAATAACCCAAATTAGTTTATAACCAAAAATTATAATTTTTCAAAAAAGTTTTTTACATTTTTATTTTTTTTAATAATATTATTTATGGTTTTTTTTAACATACTGTCATCCTAGCAGTACAGTGTCACCACTGTACAGTGTGGAGGGTGATGAAGATTTTTTTTAATTTTTTGACACTGATTGCTTTTTATACCCATAAAGGCTGTAAAAGCATTCATTTCTCCTTCTCTCTGGCTGCCTTCTTGCAGCCATTGAGAAATACTGTGAGAGCTGTGATTGGTCACAGCTTGTCACATGGTACAAGGCTGTTGTGAATAGCCTTGTACCATGTGACCTCTGTGATCATTCGTAGATTTCACTAGTAGTAAGCAATGATGTCAGAAGTGACATCTTGTTTACTACCGTTCATGTGATCACTGATTGGCCTTACACAGAGGTCCCATACAGCGTTCTGTGTTTGGAGGACACAGCAGGCACGGTGCCGCATGCTCCCAGGGAGAGCACACAGGCAATGGATGCGGGTGGACGTTTAGAAACGTCCACCCACGCCGGCAGCGCTCCCATCTGGCCGCTTATCTACATGGGCCAGAAGTGGTTAATAAAGTTCTTTTGCTCACTGTACTATACTATGGTTTTGCATTGTTTCTTCCCTTCCCTTTTTTTGCAATATATGGCAACCTTTAATTTAAATTCTGGTTAAACCTGTTTCAGACTTTAAAAGCAGTTACAGACAAAAGAAATACATTTGTACAAGTCTGTCAGCTTGTTTGCCATTTTTATTAAAGCGGTATTAAACCAAAAACAAAAAATGTATTATATATCAACTTACCAATTAATAGATGTGGTGGCTAAATACGTTTTTTTTTTTTTTTAGGCTTTTTTTCCCCTTTGTTTTCACCTAGTAATCTGGCCAGTAACACACTTCCTGTATTAGCTTTCCCCCACTCTGGATAAAGGAGCACAGGGGGCACCTTTTCGACAGCTGCATTGTCAGTCTGTGGGGAGGGGAGTGTTAAATGTACAAGCAGGTACCCTAACAAATTGAAGCCAAACTCCAGCTCACACCTTAAAAGCAGTTGCGGCAAGGTGGATAAAGATCGATGATTTTTATTAAAACCTTTTAAAAATAGGATTTTTAAAATTTAAATCTGATTTTTTTATTTTTATCAAATTTATTTTAATAAAATGCTTTTAGAGTAAAAATCTATCTAAAGACAGTTTTCTATTTAAGATACATTAATAATTTAGTTTATTCAACATGAAATGGAGCTTAGTTATGTAGCATGAGGTTGTATACTCTGCAATATTTACATTTTTGGTAAACTCATTCAATGAATCCAAGCTCTGCAAGCTGAGATAACATGCACTGCATTGATGCATTCACACAATTTCACAGTAACCATGAGAAAAAACATTAAATAAAAGAATTTGAATACCGTATTTTTCACTCCATAAGACGTACCTGACCATAAGACGCACCTAGGTTTTAGAGGAGAAAAACAAGAAAAAAAATATTCTGAACCAATGGACTGCAGACACAGTACAGGGGATGACCAGAGACTGCGGACACAGTACAGGAGATGACCAGAGACTGCGGACACAGTACAGGAGATGACCAGAGACTGCGGACACAGTACAGGAGATGACCAGAGACTGCGGACACAGTACAGGAGATGACCAGAGACTGCGGACACAGTACAGGAGATGGCCAGAGACTGCGGACACAGTACAGGAGATGGCCAGAGACTGCGGACACCGTACAGGGGATGGCCAGAGACTGCGGACACCGTACAGGGGATGACCAGAGACTGTGGACATAGGAAAGGATATGACCAGAGACTGCGGACATAGTACAGGGGATGACCAGAGACTGCAGACACAGTACAGGGGATGACCAGAGACTGCGGACACAGCACAGGAGATGGCCAGAGACTGCGGACACAGTACAGGGGATGGCCAGAGACTGCGGACACAGTACAGGGGATGGCCAGATACTGCGGACACAGAACAGGAGATGACCAGGGACTGCGGACACAGTACAGGAGATGACCAGAGACTGCGGACACAGTACAGGAGTTGGCAAGAGACTGCGGACACAGTACAGGAGATGACCAGAGACTGCGGACACAGTACAGGAGTTGGCAAGAGACTGCGGACACAGTACAGGAGATGACCAGAGACTGCAGACAGTATAGGAGATGATCAGAGACTGCAGACATAGTACAGGAGATGACCAGAGACTGCAGACACAGTACAGGAGATGACCAGAGACTGCGGACACAGTACAGGAGATGACCAGAGACTGCGGACATAGTACAGGAGATGACCAGAGACTGTGGACATAGTACAGGAGATAGACCAGAGACTGTGGACACAGTACAGGGAATGACCAGAGACTGTGGACATAGTACAGAAGACCAGAGACTGCAGACAGTACAAGGGATGACCAGAGACTGCGTACCTTTGGGGAGGGAGGGGAAGCGGGTACCTGAATTTGACAGGTACCCCCTCCCACTTCAGCGGAGTTGTCCTTCCTTCTTCTTCCCGTGGCGGCTTCTGTGACAGCCGGTTGCTCACTGCGCATGCACGAGAAGCGCTGCGCTTTGTGAATGGCTCGGAGCCTTCTGGGACCTGTCCTGTGTCCCAGAAGACACCGGACCATTCACAAAGCACGGCACTTCTCGCGCATGCGTAGTGGGCACTCGGCTGTCACAGAAGCCGCCGCGGTAAGACTGCAGCGCTGGAGCGAGGAACAGGTAAGGTCCTGCAGGAGAGAAGAGCTAAGCGGCCGGCCCGATATTCTGACATGGTGGCGGCAGAAATACCGGACCGACCGCTTTACATTCGCTCCATAAGACACACTGACATTTTCCCCCCTTTTTTTGGAGGAAAAAAGTGCGTCTTATGGAGCGAAAAATACGGTAGTTCTCCAACTATGTGTGATTAACCTATTAACCTAAAATCGGTTCTGATATCGCTGTTTTACTAATCTGACAGCATATTATTCTAAAAAGGAAACTTTGGTTTGGTTTGCAGATATTAAAGATTCTAACTACCAGCAAGAATGAGTCGGATGTCTTATATTTAAAGAGTACCTGTCATTTTAGATCCATCATGGCAGCACCTGTTAGCAGGCATCCACTCGCCTGCTGCCGCCAAGTCCCTCAGCTTGTTGTGTCACTGCTACATCACCAGCCGTCCCAATAAATTGAATGGGACTGTCGGTGAGTAAACAGCAGGTCAGAGGAGGAATCGCTGCGGGACAGAGATGACAGTTGCTGTTTAAAATTGATGATTTAAATTGAGCCTCTTCACTAGTGATTTAACTTGTTGCTGACCGCAGATAGCCGAATGACGGCTGCACTGTGGCCGGCCAGTTCTGAGTGGACGTCATATGACGTCCCCCCAGAACGCGCTCTCCTGCGCGACCCAGGGGGCGCTCACCCGGCGATCTCCGTGATCGCTGTGTTCTAAGGACACAGCTGATCACGTGATGTGGTAAAAGGCCAATCACAGCGGCCTTTTACCACCTGATCAGCGGTGTCCAATGACACAGCTGATCACAGGGAAATGCAAGTGCTGGTTCTCGGCTGCACTTTCCTCACGCTGTCAGATCGTGAGGAAAGTACTGCCGATAACCGGCAGTTGTCAGAGCGGGGATCGGCACCGATCATCAGGGCACTGATGATCAGTGCCCTGATGATCGGTGCCCAGCAGTGCCACCCGCAAGTTCCGCCCACCTGTGCCCTGCAGTGCGCCCACTAGCTCCGCCCACCTGTGCCCAGCAGTGCACCCACCCACCTGTGCCCAGCAGTGCAGCCACCTGTGCCACTCTGCAATCTCACACACCTGTGCCCAGAAGTGCCACCTACCTGTGCCCAGCAGTGCCACCCACCTGTGCCCACCCACCTGTGCCCACCCACCAGTGCTGCCCACCAGTGCCACCCACCAGTGCTGCCAGTCAGTGCCACCAGTCAGTGCCCAGCGGTTGTGCCAGTCAGTGCCGCCAGTCAGTGCCCAGCAGTGATGCCAGTCAGTGCCGTCTATCAGTACCCATCATTAGTGTCACCTATCAGTGCCGCCTATCAGTGCTGCATATTAGTGCCGCCTATCCGTGACACCTCATTAGTGCTGTCTATCAGTGCCGGCTATCCGTGCCACCTCATTAGTACTGCCTATCAGTGCCCTTTAGTGCTGCCTATCAGTGCCCATCAGTGCCGCCTATCAGTGCCCATCAGTGCTGCCTCATCAATGCACATCAGTGAAGGAGAAAAATTACCTGTTTGAAAAATTTTATAATAGAAACAAAGAAACTTTTTTTTTTTTTTTTCAAATTTTTGGCAATTTTTTATTTATAGCGCAGAAAGTAAAGTGCCCAGTGGCGATTAAATACCACCAAAAGAAAGCTCTATTTGTGAGAAAAAAATGATCAAAATTTCATATGGGTACAATGTTGCATGACCGCGCAATTGTCAAGTGCGGCAGCGCTGAAAGCTGAAAATTGGCCTGGTAAGGAAGGGGGTATAAGTGCCTGGTAGGCAAGTGGTTAAAACATGATTTAAATTGTGATTTAAATCAAATCCACCCTGAGTTGCAGCAACAGTTTATTCCTTTTGGCATAAAGGTTTTACATAAATAAATAAAATCTGATCATTGTAAGCACCCCTGCCATTGTTCAATGGTTTGTCTTATCCCTATAATGTCCTGTTCACACTGGTGCACTTTTGCCAAGCTAAAAGGAACCTTTCGAGGGTAAGAAAAGCACATGAAAATTAGTTCCCATTAAATTCTCTCTAGCTGTTCACATCTCTGTGCTGCATTTGTTTAACCACTTGACAACTGGGCTATAGCCGAATGATGACTACAGAGTGGCTGTCCAGTTCTGGGAGGGCGTCAAATGATGTCCTCCCAGATCATGCCCTCCAGCGCGCCCCCAGGGGCACGCACCTAGTGATCTCTATGATCCTATGAACACAGCTGGTCACGTGATGTGGTAAAAGGCCAATCACAGCGGTCTTTTACCACGTGATCAGCCGTGTCCAATGACACAGCAGATCACTGGTAAATGCAGTTGCTGGTTTCACGCTGTCACATTGTGAGGAAAGTACTGCCGATAACCGGCAATTGTCAGAGGATTGATCGGCACCGATCATCAGGGCACTGATAATCAGTGCCCAGCAGTGCCGCACACAAGTGCCCAGCAGTGCCACCCACCTGTGCCCATTAGTGCCACCCACCTGTGTCCATCAGTGCACGCCATCAGTGCACCCCATCAGGGGGGGCACTGTGTCCATCAGTGTTCCCCCCCAGCAGTGCTGCCCAGCAGTGCCACCAGTCAGTGCCCAGCAATGCTGCCAGTCAGTGCTGTCAGTCAGTGCCACCCATCAGTGCTGCCTATCAGTGCCCATTGTTGTTGCATATCAGTGTAGCATCATCAGTGCTGCCTCATCAGTGCCATCTCATCAGTGCCGCCTATCAGTGCTGCCTATCAGTGCCCATTGTTGTTGCATATCAGTGTAGCATCATCAGTGCTGCCTCATCAGTGCCATCTCATCAGTGCCGCCTATCAGTGCTGCCTATCAGTGCCCATCAGTGCTGTCTATCAGTGCAGCCTCATCAACGCACATTACTGAAGGAGAAAAATTACCTGTTTGCAAACTTTTATAATAGAAACAAAGAAAAACTTTTTTTTTCAATTTTTTGCTCTTTTTTTATTTATAGCACAAAAAATAAAACACCCAGTGGCGATTAAATACCACCAAAAGAAAGCTCTATTTCTGTAAAAAAAAATGATAAAAATTTAATATGGGTACAGTGTTGCATGACCGCACAATTGTCATTCAAAGTGCGACGGCGATGAAAGCTGAAAATTGGCCTGGGCACGAAGGGGGTATAAGTGTCCAGTAGGCAAGTGGTTAACGTGTGCTGCATTTTTAAAAAGTCTTGCTATAAGCCCCTGTTTGAAATACTAACAGGAAATGCATCTTCTATTATGGTCAATTCAAACACACCAGTGTGTATTTGAGTCGCATGTAAATTTTTTCCCATGTGACCAGGGGTGAAAACACATGCAAAATGTATCTAAAACGCATATGAATTATGTTAAATCTTACAACACTTATTGTGTTTTCCAACGGGCCCTACCTGCAACATTTGCTGGACAGCTTGTTCTTTTTTAAAAAAAATAACAGACTTTAACCATATGAAAATAAGGGAAATAAATTATTTAAAAAAAAAATACTAATTCAGCCATCACATCTAAGAATTGGTAAGCTGCAATACAATAAATGTTTGCTTTTTGGGTTAAAAACTGCTTTCAGCAATACTTCTTCTGACACATATGGAATTGGAATTCTACCCCCACCTGCTGGACAAATAGAAAAATGTAGTTTTTTTAGGCACTTGTCAGTTCTGATATGATCAGGGAGCACTGTCCATGTCTGTATGTAGGTAGTCTAATTATTTTACTAAATGTTATATATTGCCATGACCTCTAAAAGCCATCTAGGATAAATCCCTGGTATCAAACCTCAGAAGCAGAAATTGCTGCATGTCTGATAGTAGTAGAATGATAGAATGTGACAGCTGGGCATGTGCACAAAGATCAGAGATCTGGGAATATAGAAGAAAAGAAGAGTTGGGGAAATAAAGTTGCATTTCATGTGAGAAGAGAGGGCACTCAAAGAGAAGGGACTGTAGAAGGGTAGACTGTGGATTTGCAGTGGAAATCAGGGGCAATTGCATGAAAATGGAGAGAAAAGGAGTAGACAATGGAGGAGGAAATTGGGCACAGTGTTATGGGCAGGGACAAAGAGCCTAGGAGCGTTTATGGAGTTATATTTTGGAAATGAGATGCCTGAGAAGAGAGGTGACCTGGCATGAAACTGATCTGGGACACATGGTAGGCTGTGGGCAGTTG